AGCATGAAAACTATCACCTGAATAAAGTTCAAAAAGAATCCTTTTCACAAAGAGAGAGGTCTTTCAGGATGAGATTTCTAGCTGCAGTTAACTGGGGTTTTCATCCTGACCGATTTTTTCCGAACATATCTTAACTTGGGCTATACTGTCTGAAGACACTGCCTACCTACCCTACGCTTCCTACCCTACCCCAATCTCATTTCTTCAGTACTGTGGACACTGCATTTAAAAAGAAATCTGAGTATTGCCTCCAGTTTGAAACTCATATTTTTAAAGATAATTTTAAGATTCTCCTTCATTTCTTTGATAGCTGGAGGGTTGTCAATTCTTTATCCAGAAAATTTAAGTATATTAGTGGAGGTCAATTCATCAAAATGTATAGAGTATCTATAGAGTTCATCCTTGCCCTGGGTGCGGTGGGGGATGCTAATGAAGATGATTTGATCTGTGGTTGCAGGGAGCTATTAATTTGGGATTTAAATAGTTGGGAATACACAATTAAATTCAGATACTTTGCAGGCCATTGGTTAAACACGATGTGCTTTCTGGGGAGCTGTGTCACTGTCAAGGGCATTTGCATTGTTACAGTTGCTGATATTCCCAGTGGTGTTGGGTGAGTTACATTGACCCGTTTAAAATCTTCCCTCAGTCTGCCTGACTTCTCAGGGCACCTGAGCCCCTCTATTGTCCAGTACTTCAACTCTCTTGACCATAGTTTATGATATCTTACTGCATAACAGTTGATACTGCTTTTCTGCCAAAGCCGTGAGTCGGGAATGAGATGCTGAAGAGAGCAGAAAGGAGGCTTCTGCATTAAACCCATCATCAGGAGACTGTTGTCCAACAGCCGCCTGCTTGGGCAAACTGGTTGGAGGTGTTACTATAAACCCCCAAACCTGAGTCCACTTATGGATTGAAGTTGGGGTTGGGAGGTGAGTCATCAGCTCGTGTTCATTTTCCTCGTTGGTCAATGATGCTTGTGGTCTTGATTGGTCGGTGGTGCCATAATCTTTAGGGAATTTTTATGATGGGTGAGTGTGCTTCCGTTGACTTGGAGATTACATGTAAGTGATAAGTAATTTCTATCCCACACCTGGCACCTGGAATTCCCCTAAGCAAATCCCTCCGAACAACACTGGCCAGCCAAGTTTTATTTATCAGAGAAGCAAGTACTTTCTTGAGTCGGATGATTAGAACCTTGTTGGGTGGGCTTGCTGTTTCCCTCCCACATGTCAGTGAATCGCTTTTCTTTGTTTTAAGATTTTTTTTTTTTTATTATTGGAAAGGTAGGTAATACAGAGAGGAGTAGAGACAGAGAGGAAGATCTTCCATCTGCTGGCTGATTTACTCCCCAAGTGACTGCAATGGTCTGAGCTGAGCCAATCCAAAGCCAGGAACCAGGAGCTTCTTTCAGGTTTCCCACGTGGGTGCAGTGTCCCAAGGCTTTGGCCCATCCTCCACTACTTTCCCAGGTCCCAAGCAGGGAGCTGGATGGGAAGCAGGGCCGCCAGGACACACACCAGAGTCCATATGGGATCCCGGTGCATGCAAGGTGAGGACTTTAGCCGCTAGGCTACTGTGCTGAGCCCAATGAATTGCTTTTAATAAAGGATAGGCAAGGGAGATAGACAAGAGGCTGGGTCCTGCCTTTATATTACAGAAATTTGATCTCAAAACTAACATACTTGTTGGGAATATGTTCACTTACTTGAAGCCTCAAGCTAGCTTATGTGCTATTGTCATCTCTGCTTCTTTTTCTGCCCATCTTCCTGCTGGACTGAGGGCCTGCCATGCAGCCAGACCTCCTGTATTGTCTGCCTTTGCACTGCTGGGCTGCTTGACCCTCTGCTCCCTCCCTTCAAGCAGGCGTTGTACCAAGTGCTGGGTTTTCGCGATCAGTGACACACTGTCTTTGACCTTGAGGGAGTTTGGCAGTGTCATGAGGGGAATAAACACGAAAGGCAACTGAATGCGGTGAGTTGATGTTCTCCTGTAGCAGGAGACGACACCCTGGAGGACTCTCAGCCCGCTTCCCACTTCCCTAGGTCAGTAGAGGGAGTCAGGAGGAACTGTGGAAGAAGGAAGGCGTGATTCAATTGAGCTGTGCACACCGGCTCTGGCAAGACTGGGACGGGTAGGAAATGCTAGGGAAGGGTTTTACAAGCGTGAGAAAAACTAGAGGACAGAACCCACATCCACAGGCTTGATTTGTCACAATGGGCTTTGCTTCTAACAGCTGGCTGAGTGTGAATCTATTGGGAGAATGTTTCCTGGATCTGAATACTTGCCGTTATTTTTGCTCTGCTTCCTTTGTCTACCCTAGTTTCAGCCTCTTTGATACCAGGCAGCGGGGCTGTGTTCATTTAGCCCAGTATCTAACACACTTAGTAGGTCCTTAAAAGTGGTTTTCATACACAGGTATCATAAAACCATTGACGATCGCTCAGCTTAAGCACCATTCACTTCCTGGAAGCTGAGCACACGGGGGCTCATGGCAGCTCCCTGCCTCTGGACTTGTGGTTTTCCTGTTGAGAGTTCTCCGTTTTAAAGGCTCAGAGAGGAAGGCTGTGCTGGGTTGGAACTGTCCCAGACACAGCAGGAGTGCAGAGATTCTAAATAGACCTTTTCTTTTTTCTTTTTTAATTTTTATTGGAAAGGCGGATATACAGAGAGGAGGAGAGACAGAGAGGAAGATCTTCCATCCGACCGTTCACTCCCCAAGTGGTCACAATGGCTGGAGCTGAGCCAATCCGAAGCCAGGATCCAGGAGCTCTTCCAGGTCTCCCACACAGATGCAGGGTCCCAAGGCTTTGGGCCGTCCTCGACTGCTTTCCTAAGCCCCAAGCAGGGAGCTGGATGGGAAGCAGGGATGCCGGGATTAGAACCGGCGCCCATATAGGATCCTGGCACTTTCAAGGCAAAGACTTTAACCACTAAGCCATTGCACTGCCTCCCTCACTCCACTATGCCATAGCACTAGGCCTTTAAATAGGCCTTTTCTATGAGCTGAACTCTGCCTTCTGAGCTCCTGACTAATTTTTTCTAATTACACATATTGATCTATAGCATTCAGACAAGTAGGTTATTAAGTAGAATAACTCAAACACTCATATTCACCTTGATAAACTTCCCTTTGGTTAACAAAGATGTATTTATTTTTATTTGAAAGGCAAATTTTACAGAGCAAGGAGGGACAGAGCAGTCTTTTATCCACTGGTTTACTCACCAAATTGCTGTGACCGCAAGAACTGAGCTGTTCTGAAGAAGCCAGGAGCCAGGAGCTTCTTCTGGGTCTTACACAGTGGTGCAGCTTCCCTAGGACTTGGGCCACTTGGGCGAATGATGAGCTTGCTGTGCCATACCATCTGTCAACAGGCTTCCCTTTAGACACGATGGACCAACACATGCTCTATACTACGTGATGGGAAAGCACCAGTGTGGGTCTGAGCAGTCCTCTCTCCACTGTGGCTACGACTCCCTGGAAGCCTGGTGATTTACCACTCCTTGGCATTCTTGGGGTCTTCCTTCTGTAGGATATCTTCCTTATGTAGGATATTCTCTTTGGCTTCCATGTGATGGTGGCAGAGGGGAAGCTACCCTCACCTGTCTCTGCCTGTTCCACTGACCAACAGATTCTTTTCCAGATGACAAAGCCTTTGGTGAAGGCCCTGCTGTCACCAAGGGCTCTTCTTCCCTGCTGAACACCCATTGCCCATGTCTGCTGTTTGCGATCCTCCCTTCTGCCCAGCTCTAAACTGCCGAGCAATTACTGGGGTGCGCAGGCACACCCCCTCTCTGCTAGCCTCTGCTTCCTCTCTGTCAACATCATAGGAACTGCTGCCTTGCGGAGGAACAGCTTCATGTTTGAAGTCACACAGAATTTGCGAGGCAACGTTTCCCTCGGCAGTCTGGACTGATATCTCAGCACTATGCAGAAAAAAATATGCGATGTTCTTCCTCCATCCTGTCCAGGCCCTCATCCTCCTCCCCGTGTCATGTTCAACCACACTCTCCACGGCATCTGGGTAGAAGAGAAGGGGGCTGTCGGGGGGCCGAGTCCTCTCAGCTGATGGGGAGATGCTTGGCCGCTGTTGCTCCATCAGGAGATAGATGAGCCCTTATCTAAGAGCCCACTCTACCCCCAATTTCCAACGAGGCAGGAGGCGAAGCAATGGATTTATCTCCCCTGGCATAAACACGGGTAATTGACGACCTGGGTGCACAATAGCCAAGCCATGCAGTCTGACAAAGGATTTCCTTTTTTTTTTTGAATCATGATTCATTTTCATTAAGTCTTACAAAGGAATAGAAATGGGACTGGCTTTCTGGCTTTAAGCATTTGTATAGCATCTTACGGATCACCTTTCTTGGAGGAGACTGCATAAGCTCTCCCAGGAAATGCAGCCAGCTCCGTCACCATAACCTTATGATATATATGTGAGTTAATTATGAAAAATGTCCAATTCCTTCCAATAGTAGGGATTTTTTTTAAAGGCTTGAACATCACAGCCACGTATCCTGGTGAGGCTCAAATTGGTGAACGGCAGAACTGAATGCCAAATGATAATTCGTGCTAAATATTTCAGGCCATGTGAACTCTGATATTTTACTTACTTTAATGAGCATAATGGGTGCAATTAGAGGCAGCTCTTTCTTCACCGTGCCAGACACAATGTGCTCTTGCTTCCTTGTGGGTTCTGCTTGTCTCGGGGTAACTCATTCCTGTAGTTCAGTGTCTGGCATTAGTTGCCACTGAATAAATGGATGTTGAAATCAGCCAGTGAGCAAGCGTTGACAAGGAGGGTCGTGGAAGAAGAAAGCAATGGTAGAACAACAACAACAACAAAAAACGGACATTTTCCTAAGCTGGTGTGTGTGTGACATATCTCATTTGCAAATGAACAACAGAAAACAAAAACAAACAAACAAAAAACCAAACCCTCATCCTTCGTAGCTGCTAGATTTCTCTCTAAGGTTGTTTTCTCTTTCTTCCCACACAGGGAAGTGATGCTGACATGGTGGACAAGAACAAGTGCTGCACGCTCTGTAACATGTCCTTCACCTCGGCGGTGGTGGCCGATTCGCATTACCAAGGCAAAATCCACGCCAAAAGGTTAAAACTGTTGCTAGGAGAGAAAACCCCATTAAAGACCACAGGTATGTGTGTCCAGTCATTCTGGGGGAGGCACCAGGAGCTGAATATTGTCTGTCTGCAGGTGGCTGCCAGCGTCTGGGGGCGACTGGTGGAAGTTAGCACTCAGAGCTCCCCGGGGACGGATGGGGACCCGTGACAGCAGCCTGCTGTCCTCTGACCGTTATGTGGCAGGGCCTCATTCTGTCAATCCATGTCGATGAATAATACAGTGGTTTGTATCTACTGCACTGCTGTTTACACGTTGCCAGGGTAGGGGGTTCCCTCCTGTCTGTTCATGTCTGTTATGTCCTTCTTTAGATTCACTCTGCAATCAGTGTGGCTCACAGAGTGTACTCTGTGTGTGTGTGTGTGTGTGTGTGTGTGTGTGTGCATATGAGAGAGAGAGAGAGAGAGAGCGAGCTAGGTGATCCCATGCCCCTAAGCTCTGTAGAATGAAGCCTATTGCCACCCCTTTCTTACCATGGGTGTGTAGAGAAAAACTGCCCCTGGGGAAGAAAAACACACTTCACGTTGCAGTGAGATTCTTTTTTTTTTTTTTAAGATTTATTTTTATTATTTTTTAATTGGAAAGGCGGATATACAGAGAGGAGAGACAGAGAGGAAGATCTTCTGTCCGATGATTCACTCCCCAAGTGAGCGCAACAGTCGATGCTATGCCGATCCGAAGCCAGGAGCCTCTTCTGGGTCTCCCACGCGGGTGCAGGGTCCCAAGGCTTTGGGCCGTCCTCGACTGCTCTCCCGGGCCACAGGCAGGGAGTTGGATGGGAAGTGGGGCTGCCAGGGATAGAACCGGCACCCACATGGGATCCTGGGCGTGCAAGGCGAGGACCTTAACCACTTGCGCCACCGCGCCGGGCCCTGCAGTGAGATTCTTTCCCTCCCAAGGCACATCATTCCTGTCTTTTTTTTTTTTTTTTTTTGGTCAGGGATTTTGTGATTGGAGCTTTTCACTTTGACAAATAGAAGTTTAAATGTTGATAACAGGTGATTTGGCCTTCAGTTTGCCCCGCCGGAAACATTCTGCAAGGGTCTCTATGTCACTGTGTTCAACTGCTGTTGTTCCCATTATATCAAGGGAGCCCACCTGGACTGGACTGGGGGTTTCTGTCATGGCAAGGATGCTATTAAATAGGGTCACAACCCGAGGAGCTGGGGGTGTTTAACTTGAGGCCTGCTCTTTCGATGCAATTAAAATTTTGTAGCGCGTTTTTGCTTTGCTGCCTAATGAATTGTGCATAGATCGTGGGTGTAATTATTTTTTAAGTGGTATTTTGGAAATCAGAGGGAGTCTCAAATAATCCTTGGCTTTCTTCCTTGCCAGTGTTTTTCTTCAGAAGGAAAAAAAAAGTCTTTTTTTTTTTCCACCCAGAGAATAGCAAGGGATCTTTTCACTGTATTTTTCTACTTAGTTTAACGAAGGAGTATTGTTTTGGCAAAGGTGGCTGTGACATTCAGGCTCACAATGGGGTTGCACAGCTTATGAACTCCAGAGACAAGCTCTGCTTGTTTGGGGGGAACGTTCTGCGTGCTGGCATTTGGTGAGCGGCCCTGGGCTGCCAGTCCCAATTCCTGCTCTTGAAAAGGTTGGCTCAGTCACCTTGCGACCCACTCTTAAAATAGACCCTGCACAGAAACGGAGGGGGGGGGGCGGATATGTACCTGTTTCCCAGGAATGAGTAACCAGCACATGTGTTTTCTCTGCCTTGCTGTTAAATTTAATTTTGCAGGTAGTGATGGAAGAGAGCACGCTGTATCTTTGTTGCTTGCATCGATTAGCAAAGGGAGAGTTATTATTTCTGTGAAAAAAAAAAACCACCACATGGCAAAACCAGTTCTTTGTGAATTTAAATACATCCTCAAGACAACCAAGCACTGGGTTATTTTTCCTGCATTCAAATACCCTTGGAGCTGGTACACAGAACTCAGTGGTAATTTATTAGTCGTCATCAATATATTCCAAAGGAAAAAAAAATCAAAAGCACTTAGAGTGCAGGCTTCATTTAATGGCTTAGTCCTGCCTGTCCACAGGGCTAGCTCAGCACTTGCAAGAAAGGAATGGGGATGGGCTGGGTAAGTCACAGCGACAGCTGTGGCTTGGGTCGGGAGAAACAGGCTTGGGTTTCCTTGTACAAACACCTGCCTTTTGCACTCAGCTCACATCATCCTCCTGCGGTAGATCCTCTCATTTATTCTGCTCAGAACAAAACAGAGTCTTGGAAAGTGGAAACACCAGATAAATTAGAGGGCCTGGCTTGGCTGCCTTCTCTCCTAGCCCTTGGTAGGGAGCAGAGTAAACAATGCTGGAGGGAGGTGAGCCATCAGATGTGAGTGTGAGCAGAATTAGGTGACCAGTTGGTAGGAAGAGACGGTGTGATGGTCAGAGAGCATGCAAGTGATCAGGCAGGAAACTGGCTGCAGGAAAATCTGCTTACAGTCCTGGGGTCGGGAAAGGCTGTTAAGAGCAGGGCAGGACACCATCATGTAAGACTAGCGTATTGGATCTGGAGCCTCAGTGATAGGAAACCGGCAACTAGCTCCCCAAAATAGGACACAGGTGGAGGTGTACTCTCCTGTGCAAGTTTCTGTATGAACAGGACAAGAACCAAGAGGTACTGGCAGGGACCAGTCAAGTGTAAGTCTTCTGAACTACCAGATGCAGGCTGCTTTGCTCCTTGCATGGACTCAGCATGGCCACTGCCCCTTGCTGTCTGTAGCAGACCCAGCAACCATTTGTGAAGGATTTTGACAGTGCATACTAGGCACTGTTTTGCCTAATCAACCAGGTTGGCTTTAAATTGCATCCCTAAAGGAAACAAAAGGGAAGAAGAAATATTTAAACCCAGCCAGCTGCATCAAGGTGCCAGAGAGAAGCAATTCCCTGCCCAGGTGTGGTCTTAACCTGTCCCTCGGGTGAGTAAGGAACTCTTGACTCGTAGTGATTGTTGGGTAGGGATAATTGAAGCACAACTCATTGTTTCTCCGAGCTATTCTTCCAATGAGCATGAACAACTGGGTCTGTGAGTCACACCTTCCCTCTGCCTCAAGATGTACTTGGATTAAGCATCAACCAAGTGTCCTGAAGAATCATCTGCAATCTGAGTGGCCTTTGCCAGATCGAGTGCCTATTGACTGGAGTTGCTGAATTCCTTGGCACAAGTGCCAAGGCAAAGACCGATCCAGTTATGGCCAATTAAGTATATTTCAGAATTTCTGTTCCGGTGCATACTTTGCTAGTTCCTGCTGCAAAAGTCACAAAGTGCGAGGAGGGCCTCTAGACCCACTCTGTGTGTGTGGGCTCATTCCCACTTGGGAGATGAGAAGGGAGGCTGCTCCAGTCAGATCATTCACAGTGGAATAAGAGAAGCCACGCTGCTGGCAGCCTGTAGAGAACTCAGGAATGTATGGCTGGGGAAAAGTCTGTTCCTTGAGGGACTGTAAGTGAAGCAGTGGTTGTTCAGCATGGCAGAGAAATAACTAGGGGTGTATTTCTGGGAGACCATAATAATCAGAGTCGAAGAGTGAGACATTCCACCTGTTAGCTCCTTCCCAAGTGCCCACAGCAGCCAGGCCAGGGCCAGGCTGAAGCCAAGACCAGGAAATCTATCTGGATCTCTGCCCTGGACGGTGGAGAGCCAAGCAGCTGAGCCACTGTGTGCTGCCCTCTTGGTGGGCATTAGCAGGGAGCTGGCCAGATGCCAGGGGCTGAAATGCCAACTGACCCTCCATTAGGGGTGAGAATATCCCTTGGTACCTATGTCGGGCATCTTTCCTGGATCCTGGCTTTGGTCTGGTCCAGCGCCAACTTTTCTGAGCATCTGGGAAGTGAACCTGCCAATGGAAGATCTTTCTCTCTCCTTCCCCCTCCCCACTTCTTGCTCACTCCCTTTCAAGTAAGTAATAACGAGAAAAAGTAAAAGGTTAGCTCCCTGTATTCAGGACACACAACTATTTTAATTCACTGCCTGAACTCTGTGGCATGCATATAATATTACATTCAGTTGTTTTGTTGTCTATTGTCTACAGCTACTTCTGTAGGATTAGTCTACCCCATCCACTGGTCTGCAGACTCTCTCTGTGTGGGAACTTCCTCTCCATGCTTATTTTCTCTTCTTCCATATTCCATGCCAAAGCTTGATGACATGTTGTTCCTCATCAACCCTTGCTTTGATAAGTCTGGTGTGGAAGTCAAGACCAGCGTGTGGGCCACAGAAACCTAGGGTGTGAATGCAGGGTGAATGGGCAGAGAGGGGAAATGGATAGTGAACAAATAGGGAAGAACAAGGGCACAGATGTGAACAGAGGTTTAGGAGGAAGTGGAAGTCACGGCCCAGCCCCTGAGAAGCAGCCCCCAAGCTTTCCTGTGTGTGCTGGGGGCTGGGGGAATACGCTGAGGGAGTTGTGAGAGGCATTGATAGGGCCTGGATGTCCAGGTTGTGATACTTCCAATGCTAAGAAGAGGAGCTGCAGCCAATGCAGAGACTATGTGTGTGTGTGTGTGTGTGTGTGTGTGTGTGCGCGCATGTGTGTTGGGGAGATGAGAAGTGGGGGTAGACACAGATGAGCTGTGACACCGTCAGGACCAAAATAAGGTCATGCAAAGGGCATCAGAGTGTCATTGGAGGCAGGTGATCCTGCAAAATCAGTGGTTCCCTCAGCCTCCCAGCCTCCCACAATGCTTGGTGACTTCTGAGATTCTGCTCCATAGATGCTCGTGGGTTTGCGATTCTAGGAGGGGCAGCAGGAAGCCATCTACTCCTTCCCCACCCTACCTGTGGGTGTGACTTAGGCCACAAAGACCTGCCCGTCTGTGGCCAAGCACTGCATGCACCACCCGTAGTCTGGAAGCCTTCTGTTGCCAGGTGACCCACTCAGACAGAGGAAGCCGGCTCCTCTCTGAAAGATGAAATTCCCTTGTCTGGCACTTGCCCTTTGAGACCACGAGGGTTGGAGGTTTGATTTCATTATTTTTGTAGCTGACTTCTTGGAAATGAGCATTCTGTGT